CGGGGGGGCTAAGCCCCCCCCCTGAGCTGGCGAGCGAAGCGAGCAGGGGGCGAAGCCCCCCTAGTTGATAATAACAATATAACAATCAATACCAATATTATCAACTACATTAGTATTGATTTTTATGTTGGAAACAACATAAATAATATTGATAATATTATAATATTAACAATATTGATATCAAACGGTGTTTCTTTTTTTTTTAATATTGATAATATTATAATATTAATAATATTTATATTAAACGGTGTCGCAATATTGATATTATTATAATATTATCAATATTAATGTTATTATTATTATTATTATTATTATTAATATTGTTAATGTTGTGTTTGTGATTTTATCAGGCGATTTTTGCATTAAATTTCCGCTACACTTGATGAGAATTCACAATTTGATTTTAAAAAATAGTCGAAAACTGTAAAATTCCGACAATAAGTCATTAAAAATCGGGAAAAATAAATTGGCAAATTTTCTTTGCACAATAAATGGGACAGACTATTGCTGAATGACTCCACTCACTTGCGCAGTCGTTGGCAATGGTTTTATGATTGTAAAATTGACGAAAATGGAGTCTTCATCGTCGCTGTCAGTGTTGATGTGAGCTTCGGGGTCTTTGATGTATTCCGGGTCGATAGTCTCGATGACAATATCTTCATAGTAAAGTTCAAGTTGCGCCTGCAAAAAAACGGCACTCAAAAATTTTTAATGACTCAATTTATCGCATTCTCATAAGTCACTGGGTTTTTCTATCCTCATGAGTTGTTGATGAAAAACCCAATGAGTCGTTGACGAAAAACGTGGGTACGTCTAAGCCACTAGATTTTACAGTGCATTTTTGAAAATAATCTCAAAATGATCACATTCACCCCATCGTAGAAATCATAAAATAACAAATGAATTTCGCAAAAAAAGAAGAGGTGAATTACTTCAATCCCCGAAAAATGAACTGCAAGAACAGCCAGAGTAATAAATTTAATCCAAAACTCGTTCATATTTAAACTGAAATGTATTAAGCGAACTTTTATTATTAAATCCGCAGTGGCTCGCACGCTCGAATGAGACATCCGTCTCTCCGGGGAGCTCTTGGCCCTCTTATAGAGCCACGCGAGTACGCGAGGAAAAACAAGAGTGAAGCTAATTATCAGACTCGAGCGATCGACAATAATCAACTGGTCACGTAAGGTCTAAACTCGTACAATAAAAAAAATATATAACACGAAATAATATGAAACGATACTTTTTCGATCGTTTCGCTTCCGCACGCGAATTCCTTGTGGACGTCGAGCAACACAGCTTCCTGATTACGATCGCTGCTGCTGCATTAGGGGGGATTGAAATTAGGTGTACGACCTGTGAATATTTTTAGAGGCCCCACGCTCCGGGGGTTGGTCGATTTTCCCGTGTTATGTTTCATTTTAATTCCGGATTGGACGGCTCCTTCCCCTTTCCTCTTCATGTCACGATTAATAATTGATGGGTCAATCGTCATTAGGCTTTCGTTTCAGTGGCGACTAATTCGATCAACAATTTGTCTCGATAGCGCGTGACGTACGTAAACATTTTTAATTCATTAAACAGCATATTGCATGTGTCAATCGCCATTAATTAAATTTTAATTCATCGACTAGTTTTTTTAATTTTTGAGTTCTTTCGAAAATCGGTTGGCCCACAATAACTAAAAAATGTTCGCAATTCATTGAATGACGGGTTAAAAAATTTCTTTGGATGTCCTTTGACCGAGTTCGAAGCTGAAGGCGACAGCAATAATCGTTATTTTGATTAATTTGAAAATTTGCAAAAATTTTGTATTTTTTGAAAATCAGAATTCCGGGGATATCTTTGAATATCATGCTTCGAATGAATTCAATCATAGCTTAAAATGTTTGTTTCAATGCCATTAAGTCGAAGTTAAACGATGATTACGATAGCTATATTGGTTGATTTGATTTTTATGATGATTGTTGAAAATTTCGAATTTTTCATGAATTTCCCTGAAAGTGAGATTTCCGATGGTTTCTTCAAATGTGATGTTTCAAATTCATTAAAGTATGTGTAAATAAAATTTTTCTATTAACATTTTATCGAAGGGCTGAGGGGAGCGGTAGGGGAGGGTGGGGTAAAACGGTCACTTTAGACTTTTTAAAAATTATTCATAACTCAGAAACAAATTGACCAATTGAGCTCAGTTTAGGCTCGTGACAAAGGGAAATGATTGTTCTTTGTAATTGAAAAAAAATTATAAAATTTTATCAACATTTCAACCCCTCATTCATTTTTTAAAAAAGTCAAACGTGTCCGTTTTACCCCAACCTCCCCTAGAACCGTAAAAGAGACAATCGGTTGTACAGAAGAAAGGGATAATAAGAATAATGATGATAATAACATTCGACTGAGTTGAAAATCTGACAAAATTAGATGAAAAGAAATCTCATTCAATTTAATAAAATTAAATAAACACTGAATTATACACGATGGAAGGAAATGATGTGCAAAAGAACCATTCGGGAGTATATTCCCAATGCAAGAGCAATTTCCCACTTGTTGTTGCAAATATTGTCACTTTTTAAATAAACTGAACTGACATTTGTAGTTTTTATTGATTTCCCCATCCAATTGACAATTTTCAATGACAAAATCCCTCGACATTTCGAGAATACACTCTAATGAGGAAAACAATTTCAAAGCCATTCTCAGACATTGACTTTCAGAAAAAAGTGCTCAGCATTTCCAAACAATTAAAATTCAACTTGCAAACAAGGAGAGAAATATTATCGAATGAGTAACATAATAAGTAATCCCACAACAAGGGAAAATGGCAGGCCTCCATCATCCCCCCGCAGAGGAGATTATTTTCAATAATACTCCAATAAAAAGCCTCAATCGATCCCCCGGAAATGACCCATTTGCGATTCCCCATCCCCTCCGCCCGCCCACAATTTTCCATCTGCTTCTTTCAATTTTTATTCCGCCTCTCTATCTCTCCACTCCCTCCCGTTACATAGAGATAAAAAAGAGGGACCTCGAGGGGGGAGGGAGGGGGGAGGG